TAAACCAGGTGAGGTTGGTGCTCTGTAAAGCACAAGCGCTAATGAGTATAATCTGGTTGTTTGGAAGCTGACAATACAGCACTTCCATTCTGCCACTGATATTCGAATATACAATAGCAATCTTATTGTTTTTTTCACATGTAGTATAGAAATTTCTAATAAGATACATAATGCGGTTATAATAAAATATTAATTTTAATTATATAAAAATAATCGCACAATATGTATTTATTTTTTAGAAAATACAAGGGANCACTAATATTCGAATATACAATAGCAATCTTATCATTTTTTCAAATGTAATATAGAAATTTGTAATAAGATACATAATGCGGTTATAATAAGATATTAATTTTAATTATATAAAAATAATCGCACAATATGTATTTATTTTTTAGAAAATACAAGGGAAGCAGCACTTCCACTGCTTCCAATGATGGCACACCACTGTAGCACTGTACAAACATGACATACTCCAGCTGAGTCCAAATATATAGTGGTTAACTTTGATACAAGACTTGAATCAACCTATGAAAAAATTGTGAAGAATGTGGATGCAAAAATCACCTTTAAACATAATAGCATGTTACACCAAATATTACGTAACGGGAAAGATCAAATAAATTTAAAATCAGGCCCCTGGAGTATACCATATCTCAATTACAGATGGAAGGTTTGATTGTAAACTAGTATACATTGGTGCTACGAATAAATCCATCAATAAAAGAATCAAAAAGCATCAATACAACATTGAAAAGAATAATCCTGTTATGTCTTTAACCTTATACGCTAGGGAACCAGGGGTAAAATCCAAACTTGATGAAGCACAATTAATTAAATTGAACTTCAACAAAGAATATACGAAAACTGTGGAAATTCTAGAAATTTTCAAAGATACATTAAAAAAAAACTTATCAATCTTGAAGACTGAGAGTCATTACTGGCAGCCTGGCAGTTGTGTTATGACCAACCAGGCAACAAAGAGGAGAAAAATAACAACATAATGTTAATTTCATAAAAACTAGTTATTTTATTGTTAATTTAAGAGACTAGTATTTATACATGGATGTAAAGTAATAGTTCTTAAAAAACTTTTTCCTATATTTAAAAAATTAATTTGTATTTGAATCTGTTATTTGGCATTCCAAGATAGAATTTTAATTAAGAATGTAAGTGAACCTGCTGTAGTCCTATTAATCAGACAGAAAACATTTGTTTCTCTATATATTTGGCTGGAAACAGAAAAGTTTCTTGTGTAATTTATGTGATTTGATTATAACAGTTGTGAAATTTAACACATTAATACTAATATGAGATTGTATTCTTTGTTTAAAAGCTTATTTTAAACATTTTACAACATATTTTATTTGAATACAATCAAGTCAAAATGATTGTAAATAAAAGCATATCAGGCATATTATGCTTCTTAAGTTTCGTAAAAGATATAATGTTATACAAACAGTAAAAAATACTCAAAGTGTGTATGGGGAAGATGCTCATAAACGGAATGTGTCGAATATTGTTTTGATAGTTTCATTCAGAAAGTTTTGAACTAAAGAATACAAAACGTACAAGCCACCCAAAAGTTATTGATGAAAAGAAATTGCAGGAAAAAAGTGCTAAAAATCAATGAATAAGAACTCATGAACTTGTAACAGATTTAGTGTGTCACAGAAACATATTGCTGAAACACTTCATCCACTTGAAATTATTGTAAAACATGATGACAACTGTGTTCTGCACGCATTAAGTGAAAAAACTGAACCAGATTGAGTATAACTTTTTTCTGACAAAGTTAAGCTCTAAGGTTTCATTTTATTTTTAAATACAGTTACTAATTTCTATTGTAGAAAACTTTTTATGAATGACAAAATTAAAGTTAAAACAAAAATATTTATTATTAACCAAAAATTTGTTCTAGCAGGTGTTGATTGTTCCATCAAATACCAAAGTACTAATCTATTTGATTAGCATAATTTTATTTATGTGGTAGCATCGAGAAATTAATTAAACACATTAATCAAAAGATACCTGTAGTAAATAATCAGTATATAGCAGAAACCTATCTACTACAGAAGAATTGCTTGGTCCTGTTTGATTCTATTATAGACAAGTTTAACTGTATTAATTCAATGTGTCAAAAGGAATGAACTCTTAGTTTGTCATTAACAAAAGCAAAGTATGCCATAATGGCTGAAACAGCAGGAAAAATGATGTGGATAAAACAGTGACAAGTAAATTAAAAAAGTAAGTAATATTCCAAACTATTTGAGCATAATCAAAGCAATATTAAGCTGACTGAGTGATGGAATTAATAAGAGAATCAAACATATTGATGCAAAAAACCATTACATTCATGTTTTTCAGAAAGAAACATAACTGTCTCAAGAAAAGTACTAAAAGGTAGCTAATCTTTTCACAAAGACACTCAAAGATCAAATTAGAAGTTTTTCAGTATACATTACACATTATGCAATTAGTATAAACAATATTGATAAGCAACATTTATTGTTACATTCATCTTTTAATAGTTTAGTAATGTATTTCATTTTATACCAAAGATGTCCAAATAATAAATTTGTTTAAGTCGATGATATCATGTTATCTTCTAATATTTATACAAAAATCTTATATTAGGTAAAATTTATATCATTTATCAAATCTTATACAAAATATAAAAATTAGTGATGCAACGAATATGATATTCAGCCTCAGGCCGAATACCAAATATTCAGCCAGGAGCGTGGCTGAATAGCCAAATATTCGACTTGATTAACCCACATACAAAAATTTTGGCAAGGATCATGTGTGGTGTTTCGTTGCGACAAGTACAATGTCCCGCGAGCGGAAAGGTACGAAATAAATACACTTTGGATGTATTGAACACAAAGATATTTATTGTCACTTCGAAACAGGTTCGTTTCTTCCAGATCCCAACAATACAATGATCACTGTACGTACAGGCGTTAAAATTTGATCTAACAAACAGCGGATTAATTGAGGGTTACGACTATACGCGATACAAAAACTTACAAATAATTCTTACACTACTTATGACTAAAAAGGAAAAAAAAAAGGAGAGTAGAGAAATAATAAAGTATAAGAGGGAGAAGGAAATACCCGGGACTTTGAATTCGAAACCTTGGGTGGAACACCACGTGGACCTTTCCGTGGAACGTTGTCTCTCGTCCTTCCTTTATGTCTTTTCGTACGATTCTTTCGATGGCTTCCTCTAAAATTCTATTATAAGAGTTTCTTCCTATCGATTCGCTGGCTCCTCGTAGCTTCTAATTGTTTTACACTCAATCTGACGCTGCACCACTTCTCCGTCCTTATTCTACGGACTTCGAGCCCAGACTTCTCCTTTAGCTTCGTAGTCTCCGATCGTCTCACACGCGATCCAGAGCACTACCTTCTCTCGTCAGTCCTCCTCGAGAGTTCCACCTCGACTGCTCTTTCCTTTGTTCTTTTTTGCCTTAGGGTCCCACTTCACCCTTTGTTCCATTCCCATTTCTTGGGATTGTTAATCCCACCCAAGGGAAAAGGTTGGAAAGGAAGGTTCTAGAAAAGTCAGAAATAAAGGAACAAAGAAACTTAAAACTAACTAAAATTAATATATTTTATACAATATTATGGCCGACGGCCACACATGCACCCTATTCTCTATTGGCCCACTGTCACTACGCTTTGCCAATTGCGTTAATTCTTGACAGTTGTAGCGAACAGACACAAGCATCATGGCAGTATGTTATAAATGATGATATCAAATGTGGATAACAATGAATTGACCTACACGTGTAAAACACAGAAAAAGAATAGAGAAGGACCACAAAGAAAAAATGTGAAAATAAATATGAAATTCAGTTGATAACATAATCAAACAAGTCAAGGCAGCTTATTAGCGCAAAATTCACGGCCATCAATGCCAAATAATTGTTCTCGTAGATTTTGGAAAGCTAAATGCTTGTAATGAAAGTGACTTAACGTGCACGGGTGAAAGCCTGGGGCCGTTCAGGCACCAAGCTGTCTGGAACTTCAGTTATGATAAATAATTTTCAACAATGAAACAAAAAAGTTAATTTAATTTTCAAGTTTATAATAAGGGACGATTTCATAAAAACACTTTACAGATCATTAATTATTATTATTTTTTTACATTTTATGACCTAAGTTTCGATCTAATGTGCCCACACAGTAAAAATTTTTTACAAATTTTTTATCCTTTTCATCCCCTTTAGGATTGAATTTCGTAAAATCTTTTCTTAGCATGACTAAACTTTACAAAAGGAACACACCCTCAAATTTTTAAGTTTCTAGCACCAGTAGTTTTGGTTCTGCATTAATTATCCTATCAGGATTTGTTCTTTTATATATGAGCATATATATGACTAAACTACATAATAACTAGGTAGTTTCATATAATTTGTTACCTTTTTTTGATCTCTTAAAAAAATAACTTAGTTATATTACTTTTCCTTTGATCTTTTACATAAATAAGCAAAAAAATTGCACTTTCTCAAACTTTAAATGTACGTTCAGAATTAATAAAAGTTACCAAAATGATTAATTTACTGTGTTTTTGTTATTTCTTACTCCTATTTTAGGTATTTGATATTCAGCCAAATAGTGATTACATATCAAGTACTCGGCCAAATAGCAAAACATAGGCCAAATACCAAATAGTAACTAAATATTCGTTGCATCATTAATAAAAATGCATTTTACATAAACAAAAAATGACACATGTATAAACTGGAACTGTAATATTCAAAGAAATAACACCTAAATGCAATTTCCAGCAAACAAGTAAAAAAATTTACTGGTAATTTTCTGGTAATTTACCCAGTAAATTTTTTTACTTGTTTGCTGGAAATTGCATTTACATGTTATTTCTTTGAATACATTTTACATATTTTAATTCAAAAACTAAAATGTTCATTATTAATTACTTACGTTACATCAAAGTTAAAGTAAAACTTTAATAAATAAATTTGTCTTACCTTTGCAAATTTGGTTATTTCTGTCAGGATATTTTTGAATTCCACAATTTGAAACACATTCATTATCCAAAAGTGAAAGTGGTGAATGACAAGAAGTGCAATTTAAATAATTTGTGCACGTTCTACAGTTTTTACTACAAACTGAAAATAAAAACAAAGTTTTTCAACTAAACCTTTATTAATTGATGGACGAGTTAAGATTAAATCGAGAGGGAGATGGAAAGTAAAAAAAATTTGCTGGAACAATGCACATAGATGATCAATATAAGAACAATTGATCAATGACTAATTGGTTAATCAATTTTTAAATAGAATTAAAAGTAGGATTTTGTTAATTAAATTTATTTATTGATCAACAAAATTAAATGTATAATTTTATTTTCGTTTATAAATAAAAAAAAATATTATTTAATTTTAAAATAGCCTAAGTAACCTAATTAATTAGATTACTTAGGCTAATTAATTAATTAATATATTAAAATAAANTTTATTTCAAGGTCATAAACTCAAAAAAGAAGTTTCACAAAGCCGTAAACCTTTATTCATATTTTATTTTTGAGTGGAAAGGAAATATTTTCAAATACTTGAACACTTGGAGATGTGTGAATGAGGAAGAATTACTAAATAAAGCTGGAGTTGTGACTCAAAGAATTAGAGACCCAAATTTGGGTAAAACGGGGAAAGGAGAGAAAGGCCAAAAGATAAAAAGTAGTGAGAAAGGTTAAATAGATCTTCTGTTATGCAAATATTGATGTTACTGTGAAAGACCGATATCTGGCAAATGTCAACATTCACACAGTTGTTTTGTGTATGTACGAAATATTTGCTAAATATCATTATTTTTCACTTACACTGACAAATGTCGACATTCAGCATGCACTGATGGTGAATGTTGAATAAAAACATTTTTATTACGTTAAGACAAAAATGCAACATTTTAATATGTGAAAATAGGAGAAAGCTTAAGTAACAGCACATTTAAATAAACTATTGAACCTAAAACGAACAGTACATTTTAAATCATTAAAGAAAATAATACAATAATAAACTTACACATAAATTATGTGATTATCGTCATACAATCTTATTTATTGCAACAATTTAAACTGTTATAGCACTTTAAATTGCACAAGAATCCCTTGCTTTTACAACTGCATTTATTCGTGGAACACATTTTTTTGCAATGACAGCATGTATAGCCTTGCCCTCCACTTTTTGAATTAGCTACAGCTGCTTCTCTCAGCGATATTTATTAAGAAAAAAATCTCATCTATGGAAAGATACTTTTCTTTACAAATCACGAACTGATTACGTTATTATGTGATTACGAACTGATCTGTTAATGATGTCTTTTATTCGGATATCGCCGATGCCTTACCGACGATCCCTCTCATCCTCCGCCACTCGACCTGACAAACCGATCCCCACCTCACGGGATCAAAAGACCTTGTCCTACCTCTTGCTACCCACAAAGGATTTGGCGACAGACTGTCGCCTCGCTGTCGACATCTGCTTCTTGAGTGTTGTTTCGACCTCCACCAAAGCTTATCTGTGCTTGTCGACATACACGGACGATTGTTCAAATATATAATAATATAACCAAATATTCGGACATTCACAGACATATTTTGTATATTTTGTATTTTGTATTATTCGGAAATTCACCATAGAATATCGACATTCTCTAATTTCCGTCTTTCACATTAACATTAATTCTTAATTTTCCAACCTTTCTCACTTCTTTATCTTTTATCCTTTCTCCTTTTTCCCCCGCACTTGGGTCTATAATCCTTTGAGTTACAACTCTAGCTTTATTTATTATTCCTTCCAGCATTGCAAGATTTGGCTACATTGCACCAAATGTGCCAAATGTGGCTACTTCTTTTAGTTTGATGTAAAAAATTTCATTTGGCGCTTTGCCTACTTTTTGGGCTACATATTATTCATAAATATATTAGTTGAATAAAAATGCACTTTAAAATAGTGTTTCGTCGTTTTTTATTAATTAGAGACCCAAATAAAACAAATATTTGTGTTTTTCAAATAAATTTTCGTTTGTCTCTTTATATTTATAATAAATGAATTTATCTATTTCTAAGTAAAAATTGAAAGTGTCTATAAAAGTAATTTTCTAAAACATCTTTTTTCGTGATAAAGTTTTAATACTTATTATTATAATCTAGACATGTTAGACCTTAAGTATTACTTGTATATTGGGCCACAAGTATATATTATATAAACTTGTGGCCCAAAACTCCTTGACTTCTTCCAATGCAGCCCAGAGAAACAAAAAGGTTGGACACCCCTGGTATAAGTAATAAACAATATACAGATATACTAAAGAATACTGAAGCAGAACTCTATGTGAAAATTGGTTTGCATAACAATAAGAAAATAATAATAAAATACAACCATTATGATAGTAACAGATAACAGCAACAATTAAGCATTAAAAATCTGTGTGTGTGTGTAATACAGTACCATATGTAAGGTTTCTACCAATATAGGTTTTACCATGCCTTTGCATTCTAGTGTTAGACTCCCTATCTTGCAGTTAAAGATAGGGTTGCTCACCATTCTCACATTTCGTCAAAATGACACAAGAAGATTAAACCATATGAGAGTACTAGTGGCAAACATATAGATGTATACAGTTTGACAATTAAACTTGTGTTTTTTGAGATGACACACAGACTTCTACAATAAATCAGATTATATCTTCAAACATAGAAATGATAGAGGACAATATCCCCTGACAGTGGCAGTGGACTCCATTCTTGGGCATTAATTAGAGGGCAGTTTAGGGGTTTTTGCAGCAAATTCTTTCGTCATCATTCATTCATTGTTTCTCAGACTTCTACTGCATCTCACTTACTAAGGCACAGATTATTAGTTAATATTATTATTATATGTATAAATACATAGATTTATTATTTATATATTTATCTATTTTTAGTATTTTGAGGTATTACTATTGAAATTTATATATATAATATTGGTATTTGTGTTATATTTGTGAAATATTTTAATTATTACACAATGGGATCTACAACCTTAGATATTTTTCGAAGCAGTGCGGATAACATACTCAAAGAAATAAAAGATTACGCACTCATTAACCCGAAAGGTAGACTCGAAACCCCTAAACATATGCAGTTCATTTTAGATCAATTTCAAAAAGTAATTGGCTTAGCAGAAGACGCCATATCCAGCACAGAACTTCCTGAAGTTCTAGAACAGAAATTGAATTTAATGGCTAATAAAAAAGATCTAGAAAAACTTACAGAACCACAAAAAGTGCTAGATTCACAAAGATATATATTAGAAAAACTAGAAAAAATAGATAACAACATGTTCAGCCTAGATACAGCGGCAAACATAATTAATAACCAAAAAGCTGTTATTGAAAAATTACAAGATATTGAAAACAACATCACTAACATTGTACAAATGGAATTTAACAAAGACATACAAAATACAGTTCTTGAGAAACTCAACAGAATCGAGGATAGAGCAACTCAGCAATCCACTGCTTTACCTTTATACAGCAGTATTGTNATACAGAGGTGAAAAAGCATGCCAAAATTCTTGGTCCCTTTGGTGAGGAGAAGATTAGGTTCCTATCAGGTTTGTAAGGTTTCAAGCACATGGTGCAACATGATTAAATGGACAAAAGGACTAAGAGAACCCAATGTCTTTGAAAAGCTGGGTTTTTATAAAATTTGTCCCCAAATTCTGAGTTTGGATTGGTCACAATTTATGTCTTATCCCATCCTGACTGATCCCTGATCTCTTGCTAAAGACTGAACTTGGGTCATGGAGGTGATGACCATCTCTTTTCATCCCAATGAAGACTCACTTTCCCGGAAGGGTTGGGTTACTTCTCCCTGAACAACTGCTTGTAAATTAGAGAAAATGGTGTTTTGCTTTCCTCTCAAGGAGGATGTAGCTAGATCCATATGATCCTCAGATACACTCCCCTCCAAGAAAAAAATGAACTTTTTCAATTTTGACCTATTAGATAACCAATAAAGTTTTCCATCAATGTCACTTCCCTTCTCTGATGCAACCATTGGTTAGGAAGTGTGACAATTAAGTTTTACAACACCAAATTTCTTTATTCAATGCACATAGAAAAAGTCTCTCTTTCTCGCCACAAGCCCCCATATTTATATTCTGTCTGGCCCAAAGATACAATTCACATTCCTGTGATGAGATTTTCATTAATATATAAACAGAGCAATTATAAAATCCAATTGGTGACCAATCAATCCAGTCAACCAACAAATAAAGAACAAAAAAAGACCAGAAAGAAGGCATGTAGACAACAAAAGAATAGGTTAAGATGAAGATTAAGATGAAGAAAAATAAAATTTCAAAATAGAGTTACACATCAAAATTTAGGATAGATTGACAACATACAGGAGACAACTATCTTTCAGTGTTCGTTAACAAATAAAATACAAAATAGAACAAAAAACAAACACTTTTGGTAAATAAACTTACTGTCATCAGACAAAAAAAAAAAATGTTACAAATATTCTAGAATATCAACAGAACAAAATTTAACTAGGTTGCAATTTGAAAAAATTGTAGACCTATAAATTTCCAGTTGTCTGTCCATCATCTGTCCTTCCCTAATCTCAAGAATAGAGTTAGATGAAAGTCAAGGATAGATATGACAGGCTTAGGAGCAGGAGGCCTCGATTAACTATATGGAAACTTCCAGTGCAAACTGGAAGTAACATTTTTCAATTCAAAAATTTTCCCCCAAAAAGAGTTAGTTAGATTACACAATGCAACAGTGAAAAAACTTTTCTCGAAAATGTAGGCGTTCGTTATGTATTTCGACCTCCTGAATTCAAAAATGATACTCAAAACATTGTATCACCCACAGTTTTTGCACAAATCGCATATTTTGCCAATAATGATATCATATATAGAAGTAATATATATGATATCATTATTATATATGGCACAAGAATCATGCAGAAGTAGAATATAAGTTTAAAACAACCACATATTGAAATATATACACAGTGAACAGATGCATACAGAGAATGTGGTACAAAACATGCACTAATATCATTCATTGCGTGCTTTCTTAGTTGTCATGGCGTGGCCCCTGCTTTTCCTCTTAT